TTATCACGTGGGTCAATGTTTCGAGGTAGGCCTAGAGAACGGCATTTTGGGGTCGTCGAGTAAGTTTTTCATCAAATTGACTATAATTTGAAACTTTGGATTTTAATGGTATGTCAAATTTTCCCACTAAAAAGTATTAATATCGATTAATATGTAGGGTTTCGAGAATGGCATATATGCAGAAAATTGTCTAGGCACATGGTACTCATATTAAAGTACTGCTCTACCTTCTTTATTTGGAAGGTTTTAGACGCATTATCTGTGTTCTCGTAGGGTAGGATATATTTTTGCGGACAAATATTTATATAGGTCTATGTTTGGACATATCCCCCATATAAAGGTTCTATCCTATTTGTGTCCTTTAAGAATTAGAACCATTTCCCGACGAAGTGTAGGTCCATCTTTTGACATAACCCCATTATAAAGCGGGACGCGACCCATTTTCGGTACTCCGAAATGGCTACAATTTGGCATTCGAGATTCCCGATGAATAAAGAACTTCTTTTTCCATTCTGATTTAGGTTCATGATTTTTACATTTTTTATTTTAACTAATAAGCAGTAGGTTGCTATAGTAAGCATATGAAGTACCCGATCATTTTATTACACTCCACATGGTGTAGGGTATAGACAGTTCTGACCGTCCGAACTTTAATACTTATTTACAAATGTACTGGCACTTTTTAACATTGGAAAATTAAAATTATAGCGTGAATCATAGGGACATTGTAATGCGTCAATGTAAAATCGAAATAATACCCAAAATTTTAACTAATTCCAGAAAAAAATAAAAATGCTAAAAAGGTGCTAGATCAATTTTGTTGGTGCTAATATGTCCTCAAGTAAAAAAATTTGTGAGATCCCATAGATTTCACCAGACTTTCTAATCAGAAGAATACAATCAGATAATTTTTAGAATTCAGTAAGATTTCATAATGAAAACATAAATATTTCAATAAACTAACGTAATAATTTGCATGAATAAAATGATTAGATACATGTAATTCTCATGCAATTATAAATTAAGAAGAGCTAACATATGTATGATTTGTAATAACAACATGCAAAGAAATAAAAACTCATAATAGGTTAACAATAGTTATAGAGTCGGAATATATACAATATCAAAACCAAATAAGTCATAAGTTTTTTTTTCTTGAGTGAAGACAAAAAGATAAGCATTTGATAATAATAAGAAATTTGATGTAACAAATATTAATAGGTTGACGAGATTGGTAAAACACCCAGGAGGGAAAAAACAAAGGCAGATTAATCGGTTGTAATCGAAGTTCTATTACTTGTGATGCTCTTTCCAGAGATCGTTTGAGAGTAGGAAACAATTTGATGTGTGCTGTATAATAATGTCAGTTTAACATTAACATTCTGCCAACAGCAGAAAATTTTGCCTTCAGCATAGACCAATGTACAGCCAAGCCATATCACTGCATACACAGTGGTGATCAACTAATTAGCACACACATGAAGGGAAAAGTGTTTTGATTAACCCTCGATTCGTTTGGAATGTGTATTGTACTAGAGCGATTAAGCGTGGAAATAGCAAATAATAATGGGAAATTTGTGATATATAATGGTATTTAAGAAACAAGTCAACTTGTGAAAGGGGCACCTAATTAGCACACCTTGGAACTGTTAATTGATATTAAAAAATATATACAATAAACAACTTCGGGTTAGCAAATTAAGTCTGATAAGTCATTTTCAGGAAAATAAAAAAGTTACTTTAAATCTAATCAAACTTCGTATTCGTATCTGATTACTTGAAAATATTACTCAACCTAGCTATATAACATAGATAATATGACGCTAAACCAAATACACCTAAGTACGGTAGATTGGTTCCAGAAGAAGCCGTGTAAAAAAACACATTGATCTTATTTCCCCTAATTTAGTGCTATTCACATTTGCTTTGACCAGTAAAAATTGTTTGTACGCGCTAAAGGGGAATTCACTTAAATCTTTAAGCTAGTGTTCGCAAACTATCGATACTATCGATGGTTTCAGACTTTTTTCTTTCATAAATACTTTTTTGTGATATGAACATACTTCGCAAAAATTAAATTTGACAAAAAAAAAATTAAGTACATAAAATTTCAAATCGTGCTAAATGGAATAAAATCGTGTAAAAAAATTAAAAATATTCAATTTTCAAACCGTGTTATATCAAAACAGTGTACAAAAAAACCGTGTAAAAACAGACTTAGGTGTAGTTTAAATATATTTCGAAAATTTTAAAGATAGAAAAGAGAAATTTCTGAAAGTACAAGATAATATAATCGGAGCCGAACGACAGGATATAGCCAGGTGTCTTATAAAATATGTATCCTTGCGGAAGTAGATCAATTTGTGTCCCACGTTGGGCGCCATTTATATTATACTGTAGCATGGAATGTTAGGTTAATAATACCTGCTCGCATTCCTTATAGCGCGTACGTGTGCTACATGAAATTTTAATATTTTTGTTTATATTGCGTGCAAAATAAAGGATGTTAGTAATGTATGAGAAGACAGGAAGCGGTAATAGAAATTAATATAAATTATAACAGAGTGAGAGAGAGAAAGTCAACAATAATATTGAAAATAATGGAAATAAAGTACATTAGAGAAAGTTTTAAAGAGAAAGTAATGGAAGATCAAAAGACTTAGCATCAGGATAACATTTGCTGCTGACATCGCCCAACAATCCATAGTCATTACCAGCCTTTCTAATTAGAATAATACCATGAGATCATGTTTAGAATTCAGTAAGATTTCATAATTAAAACATATATCACCAAGCAACATTCATGCATAAATAAATCCATAACTTAACCTTCGTAACAAGTAAAACATAATATATATGTAAACAAGTGAAAAAGCGTTGAATTCGGCCGGGCCGAAGTTTGGATACCCTCCAAGTTTTGAGCATGTGTGGAATAAATAAACACATGCCCAACAACTATTGAGTTCAGGAACGTCTGTTGCAAGGTAGTTATATAAGGTAGCCGCGTCGGCGAATTTCTATAACAAACATCAGTTGTGGTATTTTGATATGTCAAAAATATTTTGCCAAAACGAACAGATTCATAAGATTTTTTTACACAAATTCTTGTAGAAAATGTTAATAAAAGTATTGCCAAACAAGCTCTTCAAAATTCGGAGATTTTCATTTATAATTTTGTTTTTTTAATTTTTTGGTTCTACACTACAACAACATTTTTGACATTTATTTGCTCCAACAGCTGGGCCGATGCGGCTACCTTATTAAATATACCTTGGTCTGTTGTTATTCTTGTTATTGACTGTCCTTATGACCTTATGAATAAACCATGATCGGCAGTAGCAGTATGGCTGTATAGCAATGAAGCCCATCAGTATACTTTAAAGTAGTCGTTGTTTGACAGGCAACGAATGAACACATGCTGGGGTGCGCGCACGACGTCGTGTTCGCACAACTAGAAAATCAACGAAATAACACTTAGGGATAAAAGTGTTTCAGTATTTTTTGGATTTTTATTCTATTATTCAAAATGCGTTTTTTATGTTTAAAAATTTTAAAAACAACAGAACAATTGTTGTTTCTCTAAGAATTAAATATTTGATAATTATCGTAATATTTAATATTATAATATGATTATTATCTCGGTATATGCTACTTTATAAATATTATTTGAATTTTGTGTTGCATATACAATTTATAATTCATATAAGAACATTTTTAATAATGCTTTTAATTTATATAATAACAAAAATTAAATTCAATAATTTTTTTCGACACACAAAAATGTACACACGATTTTGTTCAGTACTGTTCTGTTTTCTCTCGCACGTACTAACGCATTTTAATTTTGGGCACCTATGCTGTATAGTATGGCCCCCACAACACTCATCGAAATACATGTATTTAACTTTTGAGTTGAATTAAATCCTTTGGTATACAGCGACTAAAACAATGCTTATTGTCCGTTGTTCTCAAATTATTCATTACATTGGGCCTGGAACTTTTGCTTAAAACGAATTTAACTGACATTTTTCAGTTCTGAATTAGCTTTTAAATACACTAACATAAAATAACGTTTCAAAGTATTAGTAAATGCTAAAAATGCCATAATCACAATCTTTAAACTAACAAAAAATATATAATTTTGTGTTCCTACATCTAGCTCACATCCGTATGGACTAATTTACAAAAAAACGCATGATAGTCCCATCTCTGAATGAATTACATCCAAAACTTTGGATGGGTACACATGTACCTCGGTTATTGATATACGTATTTTGTTATTGACCATAGGTTCAATCTCTTCAGGAATGAAGAGTCTCACAAGAGTGCTCTTTCTCTGACCACTAATATGTTGAGTCTAAATGTTATGGCCACCACCGTGACACATATTTTTCCAAAACAAATCCAAAACTAGCCTCATAAAATTCTGGCATTGTTGTAGTATAGGAGTGAATACATAAAATAAAAAAATTGTTTTAAATTTTGTAAATTATTTTTTGAGTATTTACTGAATATTTTTTTTTTGATTTGTATGGGGTACCATGACTTTTGCTGCTCACTGTAGGTGGATCACAATGATCGATACTAAATCCGTAAAGTAGTAGACTGTCATCTTTGTAAATATAAAGAAAAGCGGAAACGATCGAACATATACTCTGTAAATGTTCGTTGGTAGATATACGACTGACACTCTGATTTTCCCTCCGAAATAGATTCCACTATCATTATCAGTTTTGTCGAAAAATGTTTATAGATGAGTTAACAAACCTAATATTAATACCCTATTTTTCCTATGCCTTCTCTATTACTTTTTCTAGCCTAAATTTTTTTTCTTTGGAGTTAAATAGCCCAAATTATTAATAGAATCATTAAGTTAACATGTTGTGAAGGATAATACTAAAAAAACCAATAACTGTCCCATCATATTAAGATATCAAGATATCCATACATTGTTTTTACGAATAAGTTGTACATACACATTAGCGTTAGAATACACTTACCAATCGGATAATGAAGCTTCAGAGGAGTGCCATTGCAATCAAACCATACTACTCCATCTTGTTGGCTGTCGGCAATAAACCGACTAAAATATTTTTTAACCTAAAAAGAAAATCAAGAGTGACCAGGAGAAGAATGTTGAAATAAAGGAGTAGAATGGCTTTACTTTGTCTGTGACTAATGGTAAATAACTGAGACGAGACACCATCAAATAAAAATTTTCCGGTTGTTGAAGCCCAACTATTTCATCAGGATCTGCTTGGAAACATAGAGCCAATTGTCCTTCCCATATCATCCGAAGTACTTCTCTATCATTAGCCATTATTTAATTCCTCGTATTACACTGTTAAAGATGTTAAAGACCTAAATCGGTATCTTTGTTTAGAATGAAAATAAAAATGGAATACAAAATAATTAATTCACGTTGGAATGATAGCATGTTTTATAATATGTCTTTCAGACCATGGCCTAACAATGGCCTGACAATACATATAACATTTAATCATGATAAGAAGCCAAAACCGGGTTTATTTTCGTAAGACGTGAAAGAATAAGCAGAATGTTCGGCTTGAGCGTTTTTTTGTTATCGCGTTAACGCACGCAAAAAGTTAAAAAATATTTTAATTCGAAGCGCAGCGCACATCAAGTTCAAGCGTTAAGGGTTAAACAGTATGCTCGCGATATGCTTTTGTGTTATCGTTTCCTTGTGGTTGTTGTATTTTCGATAACATATAACACGACGGATGGCTCAACGCGAGCATTCTGCTTAGCCCATTAGTGTTTTCGTTTCCTTGTGGTTGTTGTAATTCATAACGCAACGGATGGTGCGAACATTCAGTTCTGTGCCCTCCCTTTTAATAATTTATCATGGTTTCAGCCTGACGATTTTGCAAAAACAAGTTTACATTGAAGTTAATTGAAATAGTTGTTGTTTGCCGTTCACCCATACATTAGCGCATTTTCATACGCACTTAGATGGTGATGCTCCTTGTGGTTGTTGTAATTCATATCGCAAAGGATGGCGCGAACATTCAGTTCTGTGCCCTCCCTTGTAAAAATTAACCATGTCTTCAGCCTGACTATTTTGCAAAAACAAGTTTCCATTGAAGTTAATTGAAATAGTTGTTGTTTGCCGTTCACCCATACATTGCGCATTTTCATACGCACGTAGATGGTGATGCTTTGAGATCATTTCCAATGATTGTCAGCTGGTATTTGTTTACGTACACACACAAATTTTTTCAAAAAAAAAAAATATTAATAAAAATTACCAACAATTTTAAAATCAAATATAAGATTTTAACTCCAATTCTTATTGGAATTTGATATTTATAATATTTCCGGTTTATAAACCAAACATTTGAAATCATGTGTTTGGTGAATACCGCGCTTTATGTGGGTTAGCAAAATCTAACGCTTACATTGCGACGCGTAACGTAACACAACGCGCAACGCGACCATTCTGTTTAGCCCTTATGGGCGATAAAGTCACGTTTAGACTATAGCTTTTAACGTGATAAGGGGTATTATCTCGATTTAATTGCTAAATACAAAATTAATTCCATTCAATATCTCGATTTGCTCTAAAACCTATGCTAAATCGAAATAATTTCAAATACAACCCAAAAAATAATAGTTTCTCCCTAAAGTATGCTTTAAAATTTTTAATATTCAAAATATTAATATTCAGGCAGTTAAAAAAATGTCAACTTCTGGAAATTTATTTTTTGTTTGCATTCATAATTAATATTACTACAGTTTAGATCGACATCGATTTTTATGTATTTCTGACCTAATAGAGACGAATTCCTAACAAAATTATGAGAATATTGATTGAAAATTGCTACAGAAATCATGGAAGCACTGAATTGTATATGTATATGTTAACAAATAACATCTGACAAATCAACTTCATTTCATTTTAATACTAGTCTAAAAAGTTAGGATTTGATATATTGATAAATCGAGTCGATTTACAACGCATAGTCTAAACGCGCCTTAATCTTTATTATGCGGAAAATTATTACAAACATTGTACAATTATTCAAGATAGGCTACAGAAACTTATAAATTACAATTTTTGTCATAAAAAAATTGTGACTGTGTGTGTAATGTTTTGAAAAATATAAAAAATATATTCTAAAAACCATTAATTTAAAGATAAATTTTGCAACATTGGTAAGAAGAAATTTCATATTCCTGGTTCGATTTTAAATAGAAAATCTGTAAAATTATTCAAGGTAGGCTACAGAAACTTATAAATTACAATTTTTGTCATAAAAAAATTGTGACTGTGTGTGTAATGTTTTGAAAAATATAAAAAATATATTCTAAAAACCATTAATTTAAAGATAAATTTTGCAACATTGGTAAGAAGAAATTTCATATTCCTGGTTCGATTTTAAATAGAAAATCTGGTAATCTATTTATTTTTATAAAAATGTTATGTGGCCTGCAAACGGTCATGCATGCATGACATGCATATTCTCATTTGTGAGTTTTTTTCTCAAAGCGAAAGGTTATATAGATATAATGGATATTGAGAAAAAATGTTGTTGTGTTGTTGAAAGTTTACCGGTCATTGCCTGCACTTTGGGATTTTAAATGTGAAGAATATAGCAATCGTGTTATTAAAGAAAATAAATATGAAATATTAATGTCCAAATACCGTGAACAAAATCCAAATGCCGAGAAGAAAGACTTGACAAGAAAAATAAATACATTGAGTACTAACTATAGACGCGAATTAAAGCTCACGGCTCAAGCGATAATTAAATACTTTCTGGTCCTCCTCTAATAGCCTAGACAGACGACAGCCTTAATTTGCATTAACAGCCTTAATTCAAATTAACTTGTACATTATCCTCATTTTTATGTGTTGCTAATGCACAAAATCAAACTGAATTTATACTGAATTAGACAATTTCAATATGGCAATGCTGTCATTAATTGTTTCTTGTCAAATTTATTTATTAAACTGGGAGCTGTTTTGCTGAGATCATAGTTGCTATTCCTCCTTTAGGTCATGTATCTATTTCCTAAAGATGTAATCGCGAAAAATATCGAAAGAAATGTAAAAAATGTTCATCCTACACACAGACAAACAATTGTTTTGAAGCAAAAAACTGTTTCGTAAAAGCAGAAACGCTCGTCTGTCAGGGGTAAATAATAATTCAAATTAAGGAATTTTTAATGCAAATTAAGGCTGTCGTCTGTCTATGGTATAAGCCAATCTGAGAAAATGGTTTCATAAAGTTTTCAGTTAGTTGGAATGCATCGTCTCCAATGAAGACGTATGGAAAGCACCTTTTGCCACAAGGTGCTAGTTCAGGACATGGAATATATTGTTACGTTCTTGGATTTTACTTAATCCCGTGTAGACGTTGTTTTATTTCCCAGTACAGTTCGTACTAAATAAAACGCGGGTTCTTTCTGATTACGAGTATTACAATGATTTTATTGACACAACTTTACTTTGCACTTTACTTTACTTGACGGTTTCAATTCGCGATCTCATTCACAACTGACTAACTGCCTTTCCATTTCCCCTATTTATATGAGCCTTGCCTGTCGCTACAGAAGTTTCTAGACGATCTGGTAACACCTAGATTACGAACAATCTACCAATGCAACAAACACATACAAACTTACATTGAGTGAGCAATAACAACAACACATATACAGGCGAGGGAGTAACAAAGAAAGCGGAATTAAGCGATCATCAATGATGACGTTTAACAAGAATTGTACGTCAATAACAAAATAGAAAATGAAAGAGGAAATGGAAGGTTGTAGAAAAATCTATACAGTAGTTGTTGTTGTGAAGTTATTCGAATAAACTGCGTAGTAGAAATTTACGTTACAATTCAAATTCTTAAATTAACGGAATTCACTAAATTAACTTAAATCTAAATTCGTAACATTGCCCCCCGCTTAAGCCTGTTCGTCCCGAATAGGCACAGTTCTCGTTTCGTTGGGGGTCAGCCGCTCCAAATGTACAACTTTCATCTTCGACCTGGTACTGTCGCTCCTCTGGATGCGATAAACCACGCCATTTATTTTCGTGACAATCTTGTAGGGTCCTTCCCAGTGCGTTTGCAATTTGGGGCATAGTCCTTTCTTTCGTTGTGGGTTGAACTAGTACCAGTTGCCCTTCTTGAAACCCATCGGTATTTCCGCTCGATCGTACCTTGCCTTCATGCGGTTGCTAACCATTTTTATTCGATGGCGAACTGCATCGTGGACTTTACTAAAAGAGTTTTGACTGTCTTCTTCTTGGTTCACATCGTCGTTTGGGGTAGCACCGAATATCAAATCGCCAGGTAGCTTTAATTCATTTCCGAACAGAACTTTGGCTGGGGTCCGGGATGTGGAATCATGAATGGCCGATCTATAAGCCAGTAAAAACTTTGGAATATGCTCATCCCAGTCTCGTTGACCACTGCCCACCACTTTCCGTAGATGTTCTTCCAGGGTGCGATTGAATCTTTCCACCATGCCATCTGATTGTGGATGTAGGGGCGTCGTTCTGGTTTTCTTGATTCCGTTGGAGTCACACATTTCCTTGAAGATCGCCTATTCAAAATTCCTACCTTGATCGGAGTGAACCTCAGATGAACCGTCCTCATTTTCCCATTTGCGATATAAGCAACCATCTATTATAAGTAGACTGTCCCACTGGGCCCGATAGGATTTTAAAAGAAGGCTTTCGGAGGTAATTTCTTTGCGACTAGGAAATGATGGCCATATAGGTATTTGTGGAAGTGTTTAACGCTCTCAAGGACAGCAAGCAGCTCTCTCCTCGTCACACAGTAATTCCTCTCAGGTTTCGACAATGTCCGGCTGTAGTACCCGATGACTTTTTCCTGCATAGCATGTCTTTGAGCTTTCTGAATGCCTCTTCTTGGTCGTTGCCCCACTGAAATTTCTGGCCTTTTTGCGTCAAGCGGTGTAGACAGGCGGCGATGTTGGCAAAATTTGGGACAAATCGACGGTAGTAGGTGCAGAGACCCAGAAAGTTTCGCAGCTCATGGAGATTTCGGGGCTTCGGCCAATCTCTGACGGCTTGAATTTTCTCATTATCCGTCGATATGCCCTCCGGCGTCACGTGGTGCCCCAGGAACTTCACCTCTCGTTGGAAGAGACTGCACTTCTTTGGATTTAACTTGAGACCTGAAGACGAAAGCTGCTGTAGAACATCCTTTAAGTTCTTGATGTGTTCGTCGAAGTTGCGTCCCATGACTATGATGTCATCCAGGTATATGAGGCACGACTTCCACTGCAGCCCTTTTAACACACGCTCCATCAGCCTTTCAAATGTAG